CAGAACTGCTCTAGATTCCTTCAGGAACCAAAATGAAATAAAAGCACATGTTGCAAGCTATTAAGTGGTTTGTTTCAAAACACAGCATGAATACAAATGGCTTCCTATCCAATTTCTACATAAGAGTATTAGCCCAAATCCCTACTTGGTAGGTAACAGATCTAGTTCGTATCTCCAAAAAAAACGCCCCAGAAGAACAGTTCTTAAAAATGTAAATGCCAAACAAGGTAATGTCAGCTTCAAATTACATACCTGTGATATTCCATTAGTAACAGCTGGTCTCAACACTGATTTGTTCTGTCGGTTAATACATGGACAATTGGCTTTAATACCCCATTTGCCTCGTGCTGCATGAACCATGTCTCCAATATTGTAAAGCGCTGTAAAAATAAAGTTAGGTCTTTAACACCTCACACAAAGAAATCTTTAAAAAGGGCATTAACTGTATCTTCAAAGGGGTGCGGTTTCTTTGGTATTACTGCAAAATATACTTAAGATYACATGCTATATAACAAGACATTGCCTCTGAACAGTGGGATCAAACAGTGCTAACACTAGCCCCATGATGTCACTGAGAGGCTATCGAACATGGCAAATCCTACAGATTACCATCTGCTCCTACTATTCCATGTAGGGTCCAATGATGCTGCAATGAGGTGACTTTGAACCACCTATAGAAGCCAGATAACCCTTGAAGCAATGCTTAAAGGATCTGGAGYATAGATGCTCACCTCTATCAACCCAGTACGCAGACAGATGTAATGAATGTATTATGAATGCCCAGCCGCGTGGCTGGTGCCATACTCAACAGTTTTGCCTTCTATGACTACAAATCTACTTTTCCAGTCAGGTCTCTCGAGAGCAGATGGAATTCACCTCCCTAGCAGGACAAGAGAGCCTCTGCCAACAAGCTGGCMGGACTTACATGGGCAACTTTAAAACTAGTTTATTGGGGAAAGTAGATGCAGATTTGAGCAACAGACAAGAACCAGGGGCTACTTATGTATTAGGAAGCAACAGGGAAACACCTGTGAAATAACTCAAAGGAATTTGGACATGTTCCTCTCAAAAAGGTATAAAAGGTTACTGTTGATAACCCAGCTGGGGGGGCTTCTTCATACTGATGCATGCAGTGTCGGAGAAGCCAGAAGTCATTGAGGAACTGGAAAGCGACAATCTAATCTTTACCACTGAATGGAATCTTCATCATGCAGGAACAAATCGCAGAACCGGTGCAGTGTGGGGAGGTGCTCYTCACATAAAACAACATAATGACCAYASAGAACTATCTTTGAAAAACAGYGATGAACAGGTMAAGAACTTATGGGTAAAAATGAGGGACCAAACCAACGAAGAAAGCCTCACTGCTGTATTTTACTGCTGGCCATCCAGCCAAGGGGAGTCTGTTGAMAAAGTGCTCTTACTTCAATTACAGGAAGCATTATGCTCACATCCATGATCAGGAAATTCAGACACTTTGACATCTGCTGGAAAAGCAGTGTAGCAAGCTGCAAGCAATCAAGGACAGCCCTGGAGTGCTTTGAGGATAATTTAATCCATGACACAGACAGACCAACCACAAGAGAAAACGCTACTGGACCTGTTGTATACCAAGATGAAAAAACTAATCAGACATGTCAAGACTGGTAGCACTCCAGGATGCAGTGATTATGCCCTGGTGGAATTCACAACCTTGTGGGATATGGGCCAAATTAAGAGTAGAGTTAGGATGTGAATTTTARGAGAGAGGATTTTCATTTGCTTAAGGAATTAGCGTATGGGACGCTCTGCAAAACTGCACTCAGGGACAAAGGAACGGAACAAAGCTCGCAGCTCTGTAAGTGCATTTTTCTCRGACTGTGAGCACTCTCAATTCTCCCATGTAAAAAATCAAATTAGGAAGGCAGGAGRAGAACATAGGTCAGGAAGGACCTCCTGACCAAACGAAAATCTAAGAACAAAATGCAGAAGTGGTAGAACGAGGGACACATAGTCCTCGATGCTGCCTGGAGGTGCAGAGATGGGATCAGGAAACCTAAGGCACAGATGAAAATAAAGTTCACAAGGAATGCAGAGAATAATAGCAGCTTTAACAGTTATCTTGGCCAGAAAAAAAAGATTTAAGAAAATGTATACAACACACACCAACGGCACTAAAACTGGTGAGCTGGTGCCCATTGCCATGGAAAAAGCTGACGTACCCAACTTTTTTTTTCTCCCATCAGTTTCCCTCTACCCACCYCTCTCAAGCCCCTGAACCTCAAAGCAGAAACTGGGGGAATAAAGTTCCGCCTCTCACARGGGATCCATAAAGAATCAAGCAGGAAGAGGCCCATAGGGACCACTGAGTCCAACTCCCTGTTCCTCACAGGACCACCTATCCCTAAATCACATGACTAAGAGCATCATCCAGATGGTCCTTGAACTCTGACAGGCTTGGGTGCCCTGGCCACTTACCTGAAGTCTGTTCCAGTGCCCATCCACCCTCTCAGTGAAGAAGCAYTTCCCACTGTCAAGTCTGAACCTCCCCTGATGCAGCTTCATTCATTCAATCCCAGAGTGAGGAGATCAGCACCTCTCCCTCTGCTGATCCCCTTGAGGAAGCTGTAGAGTTTGATGGRGCCACCCCTCAGCCTTCTCTTCTCCAAGGTGAACAATGCAAGTGACCTCCGCTGCTCCTCCTAAGCCTTGTCCTTGACACCTTTCCCCATCTTGGTCACCCTGCTCTGGACACTCTCCTAGTTTGATGTYCTTCTTGTACTGAGGTGCACACAGTACTTGAGGTGGGGCTGCACCTGAGGAACCTGAACATACGAAAGTGCATGAAACCTGGTAAGATGCATCCCAGRGTCATGCTTTAGCATGGGATTGAGCTGATGTAGTTACCAAGTCRCTCTCTATCATACTTGGAAAGTCACGGCAGTCCAATGAAGTCTCCAGGGACTGGGAAAATACAAACATCACACCCAGTTTTGAAATGGGTCAAAACAAAGTCCCTGAGAATTACTGACCAATCAGCCTCAYCACAGTACCCAGTAAGATCATGTAGCAGACTTTCCTCAAAGACATGTCAAAACATATGGAAGCCAGAGGTGATTAGAGACAGCCAGCACAGCTTTACCAAGGGCAAATCACACTTGATTAACCCAGTGTTTTTTTTCAGTGGAGCAACTGCATCATAAAACAAGGGAAGATGAACAGATGTAATCTCCCTATACTTCTGCAAGGCCTTCAATATGGTTCCCGACTATTTAGTGAGTAAGGAATTGGCTGGATGATCACATCCAAAAGAGTTGCAATGCCTCTATGCCCAAATGGAGAACAATAATGGGTGTCCCTCAAAGGTCTTTACTGGGACGAACACTATTTTGTGTCTTCATCAATGATGTTAACAGTGGGATCGAGCACACCCTCAACAAACCTGCGGATGACACCAAGCTGAGCTGTGCAGCTGATTCGAGAGAAAAGGGACTGACACTGAGCAGGACCTTGACAAGCCTAAGGAATGGGCCTACCTGAACCTCATTAGTTTCACAAGTCCAAGTGCAAGGTCCTGGTTTGGGGCAACCCCCAGTATCAATACAGAGTGGGGGAGTGAAGGGATTGAGAGTAGCCCTGCAGGAAAGGACTTGGACATATGGTTAGATGGAAGACTAGACATGGGTCAGTAAAATGCACTTGCAACCCAGACAACCATCCTGCAGCCTGGGCTAAATAAAAAGAAGCATGGCCAGCAGGTCAAGAGGTGATTCCTCCCCACTCAGAGTYCAGCATCCAGCTCTGGGGTGCCCAGTACATGACAGGCACGGACCTCCTCAAGCAGGTCCAAAGGAGGCCATGAAAATTACGTGAGGGCTGGAACACCCCTCCTATGAAGAAAGGCTGAGACAGTTGATGCGGGTTGGCCTGGAGAAGAGAAGGCTCTGTGGAAACCTTGTGGCCTTTCAATATGTAAGGGGGGGATGATAAGCACAGAGAGAGACTTTTTACCAGGGCGTCTAGGGACAGGATATGGAACCATAGTTTTAAACTGAAAGAGAGTATGTTTAGATTGAATACTAGGAAAGAATTGTTTCCTGTGAGGGTGGTGAGACCCTGGCACAGGTTGCCCAGAGAAGCTGTTTCTGCTCCATCCCTTCAAGTGTTCCATGCCAGGTTGAACAGGGCTTGCCATAGGTGGTCCCTGCGCCTGGCATGTGAGTTGGACTAGCTGATCTTTAAAGGTCCCTTCAAACCCAAACCATACCATGAATMTATGATTTTTAGAACCGGTTATGTAAACAGTCAAGTAATTGGTCAGCATAGACCATTTATTTTCCCTCCCCCTCAACGAAGAAGAACCCCAGCCCCCCAAATCTTTATAGTTAAACAAATTCAATGATACAACTTAAAAACAGCTGAGCACAAGTCACAGCTAATATCAGAAGGATGTGCACTTCAAATCCACTTGCAATTTTTCCTTTCATGTTTCAAGCATTACCTGTACCRGGGATGATCTGTGTTGGCATGAGATTCTCTGGTTCATGAGACTGACCCTTCGCACACTTCAGCCATGAGAAAACTTCCTCATCACCAATCTCCTCTGTCTCTGGAACAAAGAAAAAATACCCATTTTGTATTAAAACTTTACAATAGAGAATATTTCTGCATYAATATTGTTTCTTTAGATTCTTTACAGCGCAGAAAACTAACCTGGTGATCTCAGAAATAAACTGTAAATATARACCATGAAGATATACAGCAACTTCAGCCTCTTCAGATTATACAGCTACTACAGTAATTTCCCCTCAGTCATCTCTAGTAGCTAATTTTCAATCCCCTAAAAACCTTGGCTTCTAACCTCAATTTTTAAAATATGATAACTCTGGTGCTCATTCTGCTTTTCTAAGTTATCATAATGAATAAAAAGCAGTATTTACATCCAGTTATTAACATCCAGTACTTTATGCATCTGTTCCATATAACAATGTAACTGTCATTAACTWCTTTACTCTTACTAAGATTGCCACTTGTTAGCATCCATGCTACCACTGGTCTCAATACAGTAAAKTACAAAAAAAACCCCAAGCCCAGGTATCTGCTTTCTCATGCCTCTGTTTCTTAAAATTGAACTTACTGAACTTTTTGCTGAATTACAAGTCCCAGTGTGTCATAGAATTTAAAAAAACTTAAAAAGAAAATTTTCCAATCTAGCGCATTGTCAAAGACAGCAGTTCTTTGCAGTGTCTGCTTACTAGTTACCATTACAAAAGTTCTCAACTGTTWAGATATTACTTAATTTTTCTCTTATACTTTCTGATGAAAASACAGAAYTATACAGTTGACTGTCTYGGTAGACAGTCTATRCCTGCTGATACTGAAATTTTAATARTCACATCCTAAGCAAATAGCTAAARYACAGGTACATAAGGAAATGAATAACAGAACATCAGCATGTAAGACAGGTTCCAAACATGCAGCCTTCCAAGATGATAGTCAGTAACTCTCACACAAAACCTTCTGCAACTTCCCAGAAACCAYTCCCTGACTATAGTCAGTTCAAATATTATAGTGGAGGAAAAATGCCCAGTACTCACCACTACGTGGACGGTTCTTCCTCAGCCGGTAGCAGTCCAGACAGACCCCAAAACCACACTTCCGACAAACCCAATGAATATTGAAGAGTGTTGTCTCACATACATCGCACATCTCTCTCACACCACGTACTGCTCGCTTCCATGCCACCTTCTCTATAGARAGAAGGCACACTACGAATTATTGCTCTGACATTTTGCATTTCTCCCACCTAATTTGAGAATATCCCAGCAAYACTGATAAATTCATAGGAGCATGACTTGAAGGCAGAGTATAGAAACACATACTTTTTACATCAGTACCCCATTCTTTGAGTTGCTAGTCCAGTGACACTATTAAAATTCCCATTTCTAAGAACAGGTAAGGTCAGATATCAAAATGCACACTACAAGGAAATGCAGCACCTGACACTGTTCTGCAATAACTGAATTTAAAAGAGCACTAATGCAACTTACAACAAAATTGTAAATCTTCTGCTTGTTTTGTGAACAAATAATGTCAATACATAAAACTATAAARAATATGTATTTAGTTTCACTGATCAGATCTCTGTCAACTATTCAGATTCTAAACCAACATATTTGCAAAGGAACAGGAAGCAGTCTCCAAACGTTTGCCCTTGTATATTCAAGAAAMTAAAGAAAAAAAATCACATAGTCAGTTATCCATGTGATAAGCCAAACTGGTTCCCCTTTATTTTTTTCCCTAAACCCATTCCCCTGGAAGTGGAAAGCTGGCAACTAGTAGCTCAACTGAGTKCTTGCAGGTTGAATGAAGGTACTGCTCTCGCCCTAGAAAACCTYTACACGTGATGTCCCCGGAGCATAAAGGACAGGAATATATCAGAAAATCTGTTCATTAAGGCAAAGCTGGTCAGCGTGGCAAGTGCTCTTAGAAATATTATAGAAATATTTCTATTTTCTTAGGAACATGAGCCAGCTGACTTCTGCACTTATTTACTGAAAAAAATAATGTCTGGGAAAGTTACCATTAGTTCCTTGGTAGTAATGTTGCACTGATCCAAAAGAAAAGTAATTATATTACATTTTCAATTCTATTTCACAGCATTGTACACACATTGTACAGAGAGGATGGAAAAAAACACATGACCAAAGTCCAACTTACGATGTGGCTCCACCATCATCATTGCCTCCTTCTCTGACATAACAAGCTGGCAGAACTGGTCCCCAACATTGGCCAGRATGTATTTGGAAGTTTCCAGATCAATCCCCTCTGCAGGGGAAGAAGAAGGAATCCATAGGCTCATGGCATCAGGGTCACTTTGTTGGGGGTTCAAGAAACCTTCTACTCGTAGTATACCTTTCCGGGTAAATACCAACCTGCAGGGAATAGAATGGAGTAACTGAGAAACTGCTCAACCACCTTTCATTAACATATAATGCCACCTTTATTAGAACATAAACCCGGAAAGGAGTGGAAAAAGACTTTAGCCACAGTACTCTATTCTACAGACAGTACTCCTATATGCAAAGCCCAGAAACACAGGGAATAACGTAATCAAAGCTATGGCTGCAAAACCCACTAGAATTAATTCCCAGGTCCTAGTAAACATTGGTGGGAAGTTTGTCCAAAAAGAAATTGCTACAGCTTGCTAMATCAAACTTCTCTATCCTATTGATAGAAAGAGATGACAAAATTCAATTTGAGCTGCTGCATAATGCTGCTTGCAAAATTCTGAATGGTTCTCATTCTCAGTTTTAATTCATGAGAAGTTTTTCACAACTTTTGGGAGAACAGTATTTCAGTTCTGGCTAGTACACAGCTCACATTATGAGACATGCAAAAGTTSTCGTTGCACTGCGCTCCAGGGAGATGAATCACTGCTGTTTTACCAGTAGCTGTTGATTCTCCTAATCGTTGTGTGGCAAAAAGTGTAAAAGGATATGACAGAACCCTAAACATCTGTCAATATCAAAGGTAAGTTCACTGTTAAGCAGAAACTATCTTGYCTTTAACCTCAAACTAGATTAATTTTTAACAAGTTTAGGAAAAGAAGCAGCATGCTTACTGGATGGGTGACACATACTAAAAATTCACTTCATCCTTTATATGCCGGAAAGTCAACAAACATACTTCTGGAAAAAGATGCGTAGCACTTGCTAGAATAGAACGGGTAGTTAAGGAAGATGAAGGGAAGCATGACATGTCAAAGAAGTGTAAGATGTATGTGCAACACAGAGAGAACACATAGTGTTCTACTCCTAAAATTTAGCCCTGTACTCAACAGAATCTGGTSAAACATTAGCCTCACGCTGGCAATGTGGACTGCTGTTGAGTGGATTAAAATTTTACCTTTCTTCTGAATGCCTTATGAAGGAGGGAGAGTTACTGCATACAAATTGCTACCCAGAAGTAAAATTCTATCAAAAAAAAACTAAATTCAATTCCCTGAGGCTGTACCTGGAGGCTCACTCTGTACCCTATGGCTTTAGGTTTGAAAAGCAGCTCTTCCCAGCCCAGTGAGGGAATTCCAGTCAGGTGATGTAAGGAAATACAAGACACTCAAAACCTTCATTATTGTACCCAAGCATATTAAATAAGTAAAACACAATTACTTTGTGCTTGGACATGACCTAATCTCTGCACACAGACTATACATGAAAGAAGGAAGAATTTGAGCACCTCCGGAAATGGAAGAAACGACATGCCACAGTTGAGTCATCTTGCTCTTGCTCCTTAAATTTGCGGTACCGCTCCAGACGGCACTCCCGACACTTGTGCAGATGTGGAGCTACGTTGATGCAAGAGCCATCCTGGAGAAAAGGYTCACCTGACTGCTTCAGCTTCCTCACCTTACTCATGTCTTTCAGCACAGACTGGCCAACTGGGTGAGGCAAAGTAGAAGTAAAAATCCATTAGTTAACTACAACAGCAAAAGGATACTGGCGCCAATAATCATCTTTTCAGAGATCTGTATGTTCATACCCATGTAAAATCAGTAAGTTTGTCCAAGCTCGCAGCATACCACACTTCTGTCCTGACAAATACATGCTTAAACATTTCTCAAAGGGATCATCTAATTCACATACAAGAAGCATTACGCTTTAGCCTTATAAGCATCCTGTATGATGCCTACTGAGCATAAATGAGGCTATCAACTGTGGTTAGTTCACAYAGTTCATTACACAAGACATAACCCAGTATCCCACCTCCTTGTGTTTCCAAAACATCATCTGCATTCAAGACATCACCTTTTAGGGGAGCCGTGCGGGGCCGGCCCTTTGGGGCTTGCTTCCCCTTTCCTTTACCCAGCAGCAACTCAGCACTGCGCTCCGCATTGGGGCCTAGCTTTGCCATCAGGTGGTCTGGGATACCCTTCATACAAGCCTTAGCCTGCAACTGGTCTTCAGAGTCACTCAAATCTGACAGGTCACTATTTGTACTGGAGTCAGAGTCCTGTCTGGATGTTAAGCTCCGCTCATCTAGGGAGAACCTTTTCACAGCTTCAAAAGGGGCTTTGCTCTCCTGAGGAAACTCTGCCTGTGAAGAGAAAAGAGTAGGTGGATGTCTGCCAAACACATTAGAAAAAGTTTTCAGAAGAGGATTGTCCTGTTGCCCAGGCCCAGGAGCTGGTTTTTCTTCTGTTGGGCTGGAGGAAAGTGTGGGCATCTCGATAGGCTGTGTCAGGTTGCTGGTTGGTGAGCTAGAACGGCCATTGCCTACAGTGGAAGGGCTCTGAACACCAGCAGCAGATGTTGAACCAGAAGCACTGGAGATTATCTTTGAGGAGTCTGTTGTTATAAACAAGGTTTTCTTCTTAGCTAAAGAGTCTGTAGAGGTGAGTGATTCCGGCCAGCCAGAAGTGGCCTTATGACCCACAGGTGTCGAGGGTGCAGAAACCCCCGTCTGAGATGAAGATGCAAAGCCACTGAAAGGACTAAGTTCTGCTTTCTCAGCAAACGCCARGAAAGGATTTGAGGGCTCCTCCCGTGATAGCTTTGGGGGCTGTAAAAATAAGTTTTCATGGCTATCGGGGGGACGAGCATTCAWTAGACTTCGTGAAAAGGCTGGAGTAAGGGTAGGCATAGATTCCACAGGCAGCTTCCGTTCCACAGAACTACCAGACTGGGCTCCTGGCTTAGTGTCCACTGAAAGAATTTTACCTTTACAGGTCCCAGCACCCACAATCTCTGTACACTGCTTGAATGAGTCCCGACTAGAGACATCTTCAGTCAAGCTTTCTGAAATGACGGTGAAATAGTTACTGGAAGGAAGATTCTGGGACATGCACTGAAAAAACAAGTTCTTGGATGAATCAGAATCTTTCTGAGCCTCTTGTCCAGTACTACAGCCAAAAGRAAATCCAGAAGGCTTGTTTTCTGGAGCCATCACTCCATTTGATTGGCTCCTTCCAGCCCCGAATACCAAGGATTGGGAAGCACTTGGGAGAGAGACTCCAAATCCAGAAGCCAAAAGTGAGTTTCGGGAATTCTGAAATGAAATTAGTAATCATTAGCCTATTATAGGACCGTTATTTAGTTCAAGAATATTTTGGTTCATTTCATTGTATCATTAGCATTCTACTTACCCATCTGGAACAGAAATTTTCAGCAGACTTACTTACAATGAAGAAACTTCTTTAAAGATTCCTACCCACAAGGTATTGAAACTGAAGACACACAGAGACAACTAATATTTAATGTCTTATCATACTTYAGAAYTAAAGTGAGACACAAGACAGATGAMCATGTTCATAGAAAAGCAACTTAGCAAAACTGCTGATCGTTTKAATTCAAATCAACAAGAAGAGAACCTTAATTGAAACTGCTTTTGAATAACCTCCCATCCTTCACCATCCCCCAAGATCATTCTGATAAGCTTCTCCTRCATAAGTGGCACCCTTGAAATACGTAACTTTGCAAGTTAATTAAACAAAGCAGGTCCCCTAGYATTTAACAGACAAATTACTCCTGGTCCCAGCTAGCCATATCTGCTGAGAGGTAGACACATGACTAGGACATGGTTCCTTCYAGGGGATTGCTCAGTAGAAATTAAGCACAAAAGGCTTAACTTGCAAAACCATTAAACACCGGAAAGTTTTGCAACTTGCAGATTTCTACTACAGTCATAACTGTGACATGGAACATTCACTTGCTCTCTTCTCACTTGGTACTTGTTCATATTTTCCAATATGAAACAATTCCAACAATCCTACTATAACTAATAATATGCTGTGACTAATTCCTCATAGAATCATTTAGATCAGTTCTACTCTTTTTCTCTGCATTTCCGCTTAAAAATCTACTCACAAATTSGTTAACACAATTTTATTTCAAGGTCATGCTAAATACAAGCACAGACTCTGTGCAATGCATCCTACTGGTCACCAGTGTCCCTRTATACCTACTGTACTGCACACTAATGTTACCAATCTTCACCTGTTATAAATTATTTCAGATATTTCTTTTTAGAGATAAATGTAATTWTAGAAAACTGAGTTCAAACTGTTTTAAAAAGCATATTAATGCGAACCAAAGTTGCGAMGTCATTGCAAGGACCAAATCACACTATGGTAGAGTAGATAGCCTGAAACAGTAACACATGTGAACTATCTACAACACTCTTACTGATCTATGTTAGGCTCCCTCCCTCAAAAAAAAAAAAAAAGTTTAAAATGGACTAGTGGTCTGCCTCCCAGCTCCGACGTAGGTTTCATTTTTGTTTTGTTTTTACAAACCTTCATTTGATTTATTTTAGAAGTCTTCTATTTTCCTTTTAAAAAGGATTTCCCTTCTATTTTTCAACTCTTTCCCTTGAAAACAAGGACCTAACTAAAAGGTCTTCAAGCTGTTTCCAGAATGAGCTCTCATCTCAAATATTTTAATTATTTCTTTGATTTTAGTCCTAGGTACTACACAATGCAACTGGCTCATTTTTCTGCTATACAGATAACACAGCTCTAACACAACATAGGCATCAGTAAAAGGTCCTTTAAATGTAGGCTCATTGTTYTTCCAGTCTTGAGGGTTTTTTTAAAGTAACTTGAATGTTGAACTCAGTGTACATTTTCAGGCACACTTGTTTATATAAAGGCAAGAGATTTTAAGCAGGTTCTTCCATATGACACAACAAAATTAATTAAGTGCAGTGCTGAGTATTATTTTAAATCTCCATTTCTCAGATCAAGGCTGAATAAGCATAAGAGTGCTATACAGCTGTCACTTATTACTCCTTCACCAATTACCTTAGTGTTCTTTTGAGTAATTTCTTAGGTCAGATAACAGGTTTTCTTTGAGAGGAGACGGACTGGAGAGAGAAAAAGCAGTTTTCCAATTCTGACACACATTGTAACAGACCTATGTTGCAGAGCATTTGTTGCAAACACTCTTTCTGGAACACGCTGGATCACGAGCAACTCACCTCTCCCTGGGCTTGCGATCGTACTGTTTTCAGTTTCTCCTGTCCAGCAACAGCTGGCAGACCGCTATCAGAGATTCTCACAGTTGTCGGTGTCAAAGCAGCTGTAGTAACTGCAGTTGCAGAAGTCACTGTGCCTTGGGCAACCTGTTCCAGTGATTTTCCTGCCTCTTTACATCCAGATCCAACTAGTAATGCTTGTCCAGCCACAGAGGAAAATGGAGTGAAGGGCAATGGTGTATCACCACCAACTGGCTCATCTTGGACTACTAGTGTTCGGCCATTCTCTTTGGTGTAAGTAGCAAAACGAATATTGCGATTAATCTGAGGAATAAATGAAGGCAACTGCTTGGCCCTTGGATCCAGTCCTGTTTCATTACTGGAGACTCCTTTCCAAGGACCTCTGCTTGCCTCACCTCCATCATTACCATTGCTATCCGCCTCACCCCTCTCCTTTAGCTTCTTCGTTGCAGGATCACAAGCAGGATCTGATACATTTTTCCTCCTCCTTGCATCCTTTCCCTCCAGGCTTTCTTTCTTCTTTTTGCCTTTAGATGATGATTTAGCTGCTTTTAAGGCCCCACCCTACAATAAACAAAACCATGCAATCACAAAACAGAACAATCAGGATACCCATGCAAAGAAYATTTTTCTGTTAAAACAGAATATATTACGCTGCTCTGAAGCTTAGGGACATTTTGTCACAAAATGAGACATCTAAGGAGAGATGCTATGTGAGCACAGAACACAAGCATTAAGTTGCAGTCTTTTTTTGTACTAGAATAAGATCTGCACAAGAATTTTTTTAACTGAGCTACCTTGCTGTAGCATGTACCACACCATGGCAAATTTTGAGAAGCACRCAATACTCCAACAAAGCTCTTCATATGTATGAATACTATTTGCACAATAATTTTTCTCCAAATTTAAAGCCCACGTTTCTTTTGAAGGGCACACCTTYTGTCCAACACACAAAGCCTACAGTATTTAACTACAGAAAATAGCTTGCCCTTTAACTAGGGTAAAAATTCAGGTTCAAATGTTATCACGGAACCTCTCAACTGAAGCAATGAAATGCCACAAGCACACAAGCCAGCTTACAAGGCAGAGAAGCCAGATGGCAATTTTTACAAATGCCTAAAAGGCCTATGAAGCAGCACAGAGTGATAGAAAAAGGCAGCAACACAACACTTTAAAACAGTGGAGTACCACAGCCATGGTTACACCATTACRAACCCCCCTTCCAAGATCCACGCTAAACTCAGCAAACAGACTGAACAAAAAGAGAAGATTGTTTAAAGAAAGCTATGACTGTCAAGAGTGGTAAACTTCCTGTTTAAAGAGTGGTAAAATCTTCCGGTTCCAACTTTAGGAGAAACATTTTTTAAATTATCTAACGTGACACAGTGAACACTGCATCATTTTTCAGTCCTTTCCAGATTTTAGATATTTCATATCAAAAATTTTATGAAGTTTCATATACAAGACTTTAAGTGCTATACTACCTCGCTTGGAGAAGMATTATCCATCACCACATGAATCAGTCGAGGATCCACCGACTTTATCTCACCACTCTAATTTTTATGCAGATTGATAATGAGGAGGTAGGAGAAAGAGAAGCAGAGGTTAATTTTTAATTCAAAGTAAATAGCATCAACATAAGAGACCTAAATACACAGTCACTGTGTGGGCCCTCTCCCATTTACCTTTTCTGTCCCACTTTYTTAGTAATACTACAGCCTTCCAGTTCATCTTCTATCCTTTTGATTCTTCTCTATTTCAAAAACTTTCAGATGTGATTCCTACCACTGCTTCCTTGTATATATGCTCTATTGAGCACTTTTATAGGCATTCATCGCATTAAGCACATTTCTTAAATTTGACTTGATATTGTTCCAGCCTTCTGCACGTTCATTCCACTAGATGCAGAAAAGGCTATGAGAAGAACTACATCCATTTAGCCTAAGTACCCTCATCAGTGCCCCCCAACTGGAGCAACGAATATGCAATCTCAGTAATTGTGCTTGGATGTTACCTTCTTATTTCACAGTAAGTACACAGGAAGCTGGATGCTTCCTAGCATGTATAAGCTGAATGCATATACTCCACAATTTCCATGCCTCTCCAAAGTACTATGCAGATTTGCCATACATAACATACTTTTTCCCAGTGTGCCAGCAATAGCAGTGGTCAAAGTGCAGGATTACTGCACATTCAATGCATTACACATGGAAGAGGTTACAGGGGCAGTGGGCATAAGACACAGGATGGGACCTGAAAAAACAAGGCGAGTGCTGCTGCTACACAACCTCAGGGACCTGTTCCTAGTTGTTCTTGRAAAAGGAAGCCATTAGGCGAGGGCCACTGGTAAGACTGAACTACTTGTCAGACTGCACAGAAGCACACAATAAAAACCAGGTAACTCTAGCAGGGCAGATTCTCTGTGCAACACACAGGTGAAGAGATAGGAACAGGACAAAAGTAAATAGTCTGAAAAATCAAATTTATTTTGACTATGACTACATCTGCTATGCTACAATTGTTTCAAGTGACTTGTACAGTCCACCAGACAGAAACCAAGACAAGTCACAGGAAAACCATGTAAGAGATCCACAGGGTAACTTTCTATGCATCAGCATGCCTTCCCATCTGGAGAGTCACTTTAAAATTTTTTTCGTACAGCACTCATTTCCAATGAAACAATTATAGCTTTTATTTTTTTTTAATAGAAATGGTCTGTGTGACATCATTTATTCTGGAAATATTCCATTGTAATAGGAAAAAATACCAGAAAACTACTGTGAATCACAACACAAGTAATTACTTAACTTTTGAAAAAAAAAAAAAATAGAAAGAACCCAAAAGAACAAGTTTTGGCAAAGYTGTCATTCTCCACATATAGCTATTGAGGAATGGCATTTTAGGAACACCAAAGCAGTGTTTCATATTTTTACCTCAGTCACAGACACCTCCATAAGACGAGTTATTGGGTCTTGGTGGCTCACAACACCACAGAGCCAGCTGTTTTCATCCTCTGGTTGATAAACTTTAACTCTTTGGCCTTGGACACTGTAAGGACCTGGAAAAGAAGGACTCTGAGTACATTTTCAAAACAAGCTTTGCGTCACAGTAATTAAGAGTCACACAATAAAATAGTTCTGTGCACTTAATTAGGACTTGGAAGTGTCATTTTTTAGGTGTAAAAAATTGAAACAATAGGGCTTCTGTTGCAAATCCTGTGTAAGCAGGCATTTTATCCTGAAAAATCAATAGGTCCTCATTGTTGTAACTCAAGGCTACCRTGAAGACAAAATGAATGCAGTTTACAAGTTAGAAAAAAAAACCCCCACCAAAATAAACTCACTCCTCTGACAAAATCAAGSTAGATGGGGGCTCCTTGCTGACTTAATTCTTTTGCTTTCTAACCTACAGGTTAGCAATTAGGCAGCATTAATCCAGTGGACAGTCCCAGCATACTGACTTAGTCCAGATGYGTCAAATCCCAGTGGAAAAGCCATGCATTTCAGCATAGAAACATGTATTTGCATATCATCTCTAAATTGACCAGTCTTAGTTCTTTTACACAAGTAACAGATCATCTACAGAAAGRTTTCCTCTGACCCTGCCCTTGCTCTCCATATCAACACACAGAGCTCTCCTCCTACCCTAAGTCCAGACAAAATAAACTTCCKCTAATCTTGGATCATCAAAACCCACATGATCCAACAATCTGTATGTTGACACAGCCAGAACCAGGCACTTCAGAAGAAGGCTTCAACCTGGACAATTCCAAAGATACTTGTTCATGCAAGAAGTACCGTCCTCATAGAATTTCTATGAATGCACATTTTATTTGACCAAAAGGCACCAAATTACCATTAGGAATTACACAGACCACTGTCTTACATTTGAAGGACAATCTCTGAGCTGGTCYGCTGGCACACAAACTCTGGATAGAAATTATTTTAGCATTTGACCAAGATCACCCAAATCTGACAACAAAAGCCACAATCAGGCTTAACCCTAATACACAGTCCAGACTACAGATAAGGTATTARCTTTATGCTGACCAGCCACATCCACACATATCTTCAACTTAAACAACTGATGTATTAATCATCAAAATGTCAGAATTTGAATTGCCATTACAAAAGAAAGTTTATAAGGATCAACAGCTACCGAGGAACTTCAATTCTCAATATCCAGAATTATAAAACATAACCACACAAAAGGGCCAAAACTCTAAAAATAACTGGAAACTAAAATAAGAGAAGCTGTAAATACATGGACATTGTCCTTCTTTAACCACATCTTAAATGAGCAGTCCCAGTAGGTATTCTTGGTTGTACCTCAGCAATTGCTTACTGGTCTCTGTGATAAAATAATACTTCKTCATAAAGAACTTGCAAAATACAGAAAATTGACCTTCCAAATGAAACAATAACAGAAAGTATCACTATCTTCCTTCACAAATTCCAGCATAGTCTTACAACTGTTGCACAACAAAGCGGTTCTGAGACATAAAACACACCTCACCTCTACTAAATATCTCCTGAAGCTTCTGGTCGCTGATCAGTGCATTAACAGATTCTCTCAGTGAAGGCTGTTCCTGCAGAATCTGATTTTGGCTCTCTGTTCCCATCTGCCAAAACCAAACAGTTTTAACACAAAAGTACAATCTTCTAAGGAAAGAATCWTTAGTTTTTAAGAGACAGGTCTCCTTGGACTACAGTCAGACACTGACAAACAAGGAAAAAAAGGAAAATTAAGAAAAATATTACTGAACATGCCAGAAGGAATAAAAGGATTACCTATGCAAAAGTTGTTGCAAGACTTCCACTGCWATTATCAGCTATACAATGACAGCTAGCTCTCCAACTGAACAAGGTAGAGAGCATTTGTTGCATGCAAATGGAGGTTAGCATGAGGACTTGGAAATGCAGGGAAACAARCACAAATAGTGACAGGGCAGTGTAAGGAGAAAGAAGGATATGTTGGTGGAACAGGAAGAAAAAAAATTAATCTGACAAGCACAGCAYAAAAAATTTACATTTTAACTGAACACAGTTCAAATACCTGAAATAAACGTAATCCACTGGCATCAGACAGGAAACGTAAATGTCTGTCCAGAAGAAACTCCACTGGGACCACAGAGCCTAACCCCAGCTTATCTACTAGAGGAGTGAAGGTCTGTGATAAACAACAAAAAAAAGAATTCACCAAAATGRCTGAGCACACATACAGGCCAACAACAGTTGATTTCACACGCCATTTAGATTAAAAAAAAAAAAATTCTCATCTTGTACTGCCCAATAGTTTTAATGCAAAATACTAGTTATTATGGCTAAGCCAATAATTCTTGCATTACAAGCAGAAATTACAGGCAATTGTATCCATTTTTTTCATCAGATCTTATAGCAGAAATGAAAACACCTGTGGCAGTATTGTTCTTTCATAGGTGAGCACCTTCAGATGCTCAGGTTAAATAAAAAAAGCTTTGGTTAATGGTTTAAACTATCTAACGTATTTCAGATACAGCCTCCTGAAAAGAGTGGTTTTATTCCTCTACAGAAGTTAGCTGTAAGAAATTTATATGCTTATTATTAAATGCGAGCAGTTTTGGCTGGTATTTTGTGAAAAACTAAAGTTCATARCAAGTGTACTACTGATGCTCAAAAGACAGAATAAATCACTAAAAATACCCAGTGGAATCAGAAACCYTGTAAAAGCAGAATCAGAGAATCTTATAACATAACTTGCTGATGGAAGACAAAGTTGCCAACCAGAAACTTTGAAATGTGTTATTTGTCTCATGCTCACTTACATGATTTTGACACACAAGTATTCATGATATTTTTCCCTTAACAGTTCTCATCAGGTTCGTTTACACTCCATTCTCCTGTACASAACACTATAAATATAAAAATTTGTTTTCTCTGTTTATGTAAAACTGTTTCCTGAAAGTAAACAGGACTACAAAAAGGAGACAACGAAGGATGAAAAGACATTCTTAAGTGATAAATCTTAAACACAAAAAATATCCAACAAAACTCACCATACCTCACACCCCTGAAACATACCAATCCCCTTGTAATGCTAAGTAGTTGAGCTGCTTTCCCGTTGCAAAAATGTACTCTGGTGCCTTGGCTAACTCCAATCTGTAWTCCCATGCATTTATCTGGGTAGGCCTGTAGTACCTAGAGAAAGCTTCAATACTCATGTGGCTGTCCAGAGAACGGAAACATTTTTTTCAGCTAGTATACAAATAAAGCTTGAGTTGTAATGGAAATACTCTCAATGGAATCATCTCAAAGTCAGCATGCAGACTATGGTAACACCCCCTAATTACTCAGATTTTTAGAGATTTGGGAATCAACCGAAAGAAATTGATCCTGTATAAAAACAGTTTCCCAGAYGAAACTAACTGAAGTTCATTCTTGAAGACAATCTGGAAATACAATGAAAGGAAAAARCACTACCTACAGAGTCTCTGCTGTAAAGGCGTGGTTTTCTCCTGCCTTAATCCAAACACATTAAAGAAATCTTCAGAGAAAGATGCAGTCATAAACTTGCTGTTTTGAGCCCAAGTGCACATTTAAAACATTAAATTCAAATTCTACCAAGGCACAAGATCCTTGACAGGAAAAAAAAWTTCAATGTACCCATGCTCAAAATGTATTAAAAAGCAGAGAGTAGGGTCCTAAGCAGCCCAAGGACTGTGGGAAAAGAAACAAAAGAAGGGCCAAATAATAAAAATTAAACAGCATAAAAATGAAGGAAGGATTCTCACATATAATGATCTTTCCTCTTCAGAAGCCACTAAGAGAAGAAAAAGCATGTAATATACTTTTCACTATATACTACTAATCAGGATGTTTGCAGAATGGRTATATTTGGATATGCTAGCTAAAATATACCAGCTTTGTCTTCAGGTGTCATGACATGCAACTGTAACGTAAACAATAATATGGCTAACCACATCAGGAAACATGATAAAATTTTGCACATCGTGTTASTTAATGCTGACAATAAAACTGAAATAAAATGTTTCRACTGGGAGTCACCAATTTATAGTTAACATGTCTGGCACAGCCCACAGTCTATTCTCTTTCTCAAGGCGCTTTCTGGTATAACTACTTAAACGTTGCAACACCCGCTACCTTACAGAGCTCTGGAGAGTCCTTCATAAGACCAAAAGGCTTATTCTTACAATTCAGAAAAGCCTACCATACACAAAGTTTTAAAATAAGGCAAAATAATCTTTTCAGATATATAACACATTTCTTCAGAGACTCACTTGTAAATATCACATTTCTGTACAAAATGTCATAGCAATTTCTGAGGCAGGAACTGGGAGCACACTGCCTCTCCAATGCCTTCCCAAAGGCACTATAAGTGCCAGTTAAGGAACTCCTATTAGTAAAAGTCCATCCCCAAAGAACCTGCAAAATGGTGCTCTGTACAATTTCCAAGCCTTGAGTTTCACAGTGGAGCTGATGAAAAGCTCTAACAATCTAARGGCTTTTGGTCAAATACTCACCAGTGCAGGCCACTGTGCCAGTGAGATTCGAGTGCTCTGAAGCATAACCGGATCATTTCGAGGTGCCCAAACCAATGATCCTTCCAGCAGCAAAACTATAACTTCTTCAGCATGCACTTTCACCCACGCATGCTGGTTCCAGTTACAGCCATCAAATTCCACAAAGATCTGATGGAAAAGAAAAATTAGAAGGCATTTAATCTCTTTTCAGATGCTAAATAGAAAATAATATTCCTACAATCTTGAAGAAAAATCAGGACAAATATTGCAATGTTAAAACTGAGAATACATCTACATAGATCACACATCTACACCTATGAAATATTACAAAAGAAATGAGAATCAAATTCACAGCAACTAGTAACCTGTGAAAAATTATTTATCCCCAAAGACACATTACCAGCTCTAAATGTTGCGTTTTCCAATACAAAAATAAAGACGTGAAAATTGTTCATCCAAAAGCACAGCTGACGACACAATGCAATCCTTTTTCACAGTAGAATTTTTCAGAGAATTTCAACACTCTTACTTGGCACTTGAACAGACTTTATCAGTATGGTTAACTGACATTTACATAATTAAATGCTTCAGCCTGCAAGGCTCGTGTTTACAAAATCCACTCTAAATCAGAAGTTTTGTCTTGTCTTGTACATCATTAAACTCCCTGAACAAATGCAAATATGTTGGATGGCATGAGATTATCCAGACCTACCTACCTGCTAGATTTTTCAAAGCCTTATTTACCAGTGTAACAATACAAACCATACTAAACACTCTACAAATCTAAATCACTATTCYGAGATATCATCCTCCTTTTTTCCTATCACAAGGATAGGAATTATTAAAGTCATATRAAATCACATGGCAAGAACGCTGAGTACACAGGTTACAAATTTCATTCCATRTCCTAACAACTGGAGCTATTAAGTATTAGAACAGTCACATTCCAATCTTTCATCTACAGAATTTACAMACTTGCCAACAGGGCACTAACCTGAGAGAGACAGCTCTCTGCTTCACCAATAAACCATAGTAAAAGAAGTATTAGAGACCACTTACTCCTCTACCCTACTCCTCCSCCCAGATTCAAAACCTCAACTCCAAGGAGAGGGGGAGAGAATATGAAGTAACTCTCCTGATTAAGTCTTGAACTCCATTACTACTTAAGCTGTCCTGCTGAGAAACAGTACTGGACCTTTCAAAATATCCCTCCTCCAATTCAGTAATTTTCAGCAATATATTGGAAACTAGACAGAGCACATTTCCATTTTCAGTGGGCCTATAGCTTTCTCACTATTATACTTGTGCTACTTTGCCAGTAGCATGTGACATAATGAGAGAACTAAGGAGAGAACTAACACAGAAAAACAACAAAATGGAATCATTTGTTTACAATGTGTACAGTATTAGTGAGGTAATTGTCTTGTCATGATTCTCTTATCGCAAAGGTTATATGAAAAGAGGTTGTCATAAAGAATTACTAGAATAACACTGATTTTGGAATATATGCCTTTTTGCCAARTAATTAAGAATTTGATTAAAAGATGGGGAGATTCTGTAAGTAACAACACAGAACGGACCTCTCATTAGCATGTCTCCCTAAACTAGTTGGCAAGGACCACTGAAGGCAGACAAGTTCAAACAAGCAATGAAGTACAGCTTACCTGCCCCAAAAAAAGGATACCTACGAGGTTCATTTTATTACTTCACTCAAGGTTTAAACAGGACTTGCCTCAGTCTCCTTCTATGACCAACTGACCAGCTTAGTACAGGAGGGAAAGGCTGTGGATGCATTCATCTAGACTTCAGTAAAGTGTTTGACACCRTCTTCCACAGCACCCTCCTAGAAAAACTGGCAGCTCATGGTTTGGATGACTGGACCCTTTGATGGGTAAAAAACTGGCGCAGGGAGTTGCGGCGAACAGTGCCAAATCCAGCTGCGGCTGGTTGCAAGTGGTGTTCCCCAGGGCTCAGTATTAAGGCTGCTCCTATTTAGCATCTTTACTGATGATCTGCACACAGGGATTGAGTGCACCCTCAGTAAATTTGCAAACACCAAGTTGCATGGGAGTGTTGATCTGCCAAAGGGTAAGAAGACTTTGCARAGAGACCTGGACAGACTCAATCAAAAGACTGAGGACAACAGCCTGTGGTTCAACAARGTGGGTCCTTGCAGCACTGGGTCCCGCACTTGGGTTGCAGCAATCTCCTGCACCGCTACAGGCTTGGGGAGGAGTGCCTCCAGAGCTGTTTTGACAGAAGGGCACTTTGGAGTGCTGGTTGACAGCTACCTCAACAAGAGCCAGCGTGTGCCTAGGTGGCCAAGAAGGCAAATAGAAACTTGGCCTGTATCAAGAATAGTGTAGCCAGCAGCACTAGGGAAGGTGACCATCCCCCTATTCTCAGCACTCATGCAGCCACACCTCAAGTGCAGCGTTCAATTCTGGGCCCCTCACTTTAGAAAGGACATTAAGGTGCTGAAGCCTRTCCAGCAAAGGGCTACAAGGCTCATGAAAGGTCTAGAAAACATCTCTTATSAGGAGTGGCWGAGGGAGCTGGATTTATTTGGTCTTGAGGAGGCTCAGGGGCATCTCATCATTCTCTATGACTCCCTGACAGCATTTCAGTAGCACAAGTGGTCAAAGAATACCTCATGACCGTGTAGGATCCTGCAAAAAGCAWTTAGTGCAGCCACAGAAGACATATACACATTTTCTTCAGTGTGGATGTCTATTTTTTACACATGGGAAGAGAGAAAGGTCAGTGGAAAAAAAAAAAAAACCCTATGGCATAACAAGGATTCATAGGATTTTATACTTAGACCACCAATAAAGCATCACAGTGTAAGCAGAGAAAATGTACATCCACTACTTTGCAGTCAGCTCTTCCTCACAGAACTGTATTTTAATCGCAAAGCAGATAAAAATGTATTGAAAAAACATTCAACATTCCATTTGTTCTTAAAAATCTCTTTTTACAACAAGAAGCATTAAATGCACCCCAGTGTTATGCCTTCAACAGCAGCAATATGAGACATTACTTAGGAAGTGAGATGGAGCCTATACCACTTTGKGGTGTCACTTCTCCTCATGTACTCTTTAAATACGCAAAAGCATGCAAGCACTTTGCTCCCAGAGAGAATGATCCAGGAACATGATCACCTGTGCAGAACAGAAGGAAATGAAGAATACAGTGACACAGAAAGTAATCTGAATATCCTAGACTTACACAACTCCAGTTTGCAGTGAAGCTTCCCACCACTTCCACTGTCACAGTGACAAGCCCCGGTCTGAAAACTCCTCTTTCCAAATCCCTTACAGTTTSAAAGCCTCTACAAGCTCCCCATTTAGCCCCAGAAATACCTGAAATTCTGCAGCACACACATGCACAACAGCCAGGAACTTCCCCACACCTCGGCACAACAAACAAGATCAGCATGTTTTCTCACGTGCTTCTCTGCTCTCATCTAGTACATACAGCCCCCAGGCAGGAAGATACTCTTTCTCAACGTGACCTAGTTAGAGAAACTAGTTAAAATACCCTGATACTTACAATTAATTCAGAGTTCTGGTACTTGCAAAGTACCTAAGCTTATTCCACAATCCAGATAATTTCTAAAGACCAACTTTATTCCATGAAATCCCCTATGAACAATGTCCTTTAAATTATATGTTTTCATTAAATGTACAATTTACATATAATGTGAAAGGAAAAATGTTTTCAGAATACATTCAATTATGTGCAGATTACAGTAAGAAATAGGTAAACTCAAGAGAAAAAAACTTGGATAAGGCAAAATATTCTGTAGAAAACATGACCTAATATCCATTGTGGAAGGGAGTGGGGGGAGAAGGGGCAATTCTTTGCATGCCATCTAACATTGGATTATTCCACAACAGTCCCTCAAAACACTTCGTATCCTAGGCCTCCTAACACTTTGTGGTATCGTATAGCTTGCCTATTCACCAAAACAATCATCTCTCATACTTCTGTTCCACATAAGAAAAGCACTAGTCCTGCATAGGACACACTGAGCTATTTTGCCATTAGTATGTACCATGCACTTTTACAGCATTTGAAACCTACTGAGATGGAGCTTGACASGTCTTTTATAATCTTGTTCTAGCAAACATTTTGAGAAAGAGGGTARTACCTGCTTCCAGTTAGAAGAAGCAAAGCTGTTTTCTAATGGCAGCACAGTTTTTCCTCAGGATTTCTGCTAGGTGCCCTGCAATGGTGTTACAACTAGGACTGACCTTTACATACATTTCTTTGTGGAGGAACCACAACTGGAGGAACTCCACATTATACCAGGGTGTCTAAAAACTACTCTCTGCGACCAATTTTTTACAGGGAAAAAATCCCCAAAAATCTTTCTGAGGCTTTACCTGAAAAAGTAACAGCTTCCTAAAATTCCAATACACTTTAAAAAATATATGCTTTTAAGTTTATACCTCTTGTCTATTCCCAAGTTTTCTGTCCTAGAAARGTGCACATATTCAACTGCAGTTGAAGTTGAAGCCCAACATGAGACTATAGGCTAGTAATTGAAACCATCTTTRTAGGATACTATGAGAAAGGACAGACTTACGCAGACCAAAGAGTAGAAAACACATTTTTCCAAGCCTTTATCACACCTAGTCCACATCATTAACTTAGAAGAGAATTTCCTAAACAGTGGTTGACTGCTTGGGGCCAASTCATCACTTCTTCTGACAGAAGGAGTTTAGGAAGAACTCTTTTCTGATAGTACATCATTGCCATTGTCACAGCAGCATTCATTATGAAAGGAAGAGCCCATGAAAACAGTACATGTCCCACATTATTCTAAATTCTGCCTTGAGTATGTTACACATTTCACATTTCAGCATTCTTACGTAGATTTTGAGAACACACACTTCAGAGACAGCTACACCACTGAAAGGGTATTAAGTGGAAGGTTATTGATGAAAGGAACTGAGGGGAGAACTGCAGTGCTGATAGAAGGTAACAAATTCACACACCACAAAAAATGCAAGGGCACTGATGACACACAYGTCCAATGCAGTCTGCTACAAGAGTGGCTCTTCAGCTGGATCTTAGCCCCAATACATTTTGCAATTCAGATATTCTCAAACACTTGTCACATTTCCCTACTGAAGAAACCCTTTCTGCATCTCYTTTTATTTCCTCCTCCATGAACAAGATAGGCAGCAGCTAGAGTACATAATTACAGCTCTGAACTGCAGACACCAGGTGCCAGGCCCTCCAGGTCTGCAAAGCCAAATCCAGCACACTGCTTTCTGCTGACTGCCATAGGTGCAGTTCTAGAACAAGRCCAAGGAAAGCAGCATCACCAGAGGATGTCAAGGAAACTAAGTAGGAACTCTTCAAACAAGCCCAAAGAACTTAACATAAATACTGATTTTTACAAAACTACTCATTAAGAGAACTAAAACTATTCACRAACACAGAACTTCATTCCTCCAACCATGGATCACTGAAACAGACACAGCCCTCCAAAGCATGCCACCATTTACAGCGAGTGCCTGCAGAACTAACACATGCAAAGAGCAACTGCAYCCATACATTTCAAGAGCTCTTTTTAGGCTCTCCACCCAAGCGTTTCATAGAGCTATACTAGAAATAAAAACAGACAAATGCTAAGGAGTGCTTAAGTATATTACACTAAAGCTGAATTCCTACAACTGAAAAAATCTSACACAAAATCAAATGGATGAACCGCACTCAAAATTGCCCCCTCAACAGATATTTGCATATATAATTTAGGCTGATCAAGCCTATTTAACATCTTCCTGGAGGAAAACGAAAACAAAACAACAACAAACCTACCCAACAAAACAAAACAAAACAAAAAACCCACAAGTCAACATTTTGAAGTTATATGCAYGCAGACAAATCAGCACCAGAAATGTCTCAGACGTACTTGCTCCACACCTAAGTTACTTCCCATCACGACACCGGCGATGCCGGACCCCGCACATACTWGCCCGGCCGCTTCGCCGCCACGCTCGCCGCAGGCCGGGCCCCACCGCTTCCAGCCCGGGAGCGCGTCCGCCGGGCCCGGCGCTGCGGGGAGGGCTCGGGCCGCCGGCACAGTTCGGCCGCGGCACCCGCCCGCCCCCAGCCCAGCCCGSTCCGTCCGCGGCCCTCGCGGGAAGCTGGACCCGCGGCCCCGTCCGCGGTACGGTGTGCCCCCTCCACTCCCGCTCCGATCCTCACCGCCAGGTCCTGGGGCACCGCTCCGCTCATGGCCCTCACGGTGCCGCTCCGCCAGGCCCGCGCRGGCAACGCAGGCCCCGGCTCCGGCCCCGGCGTCTCGCCCTCGCCCGGTCCTGCCGCCAGCAGCAGCAGAAGCCGCTTCCCCACGGGAGAAGCCGCCGCGTCTGCCATCCCCGCTGGGCACAGCCGCTGCCCGAGCGCTCCGGCCGCAGCCGCCGCCCGAGACACCAAGAGGCTCCTGCCCCGCGCTGGGCCCGAGCACCGCCCGCCGCCGTCCCAGCGTGCCCCGCGCAACCGGCCCCGCCCCCGCCCCGCCCCCTCCCGGGGCTTGCCCGGCCCCACAAGGCCCCGCGCGGGACGGCGGGATGAGAGCGCCGCCGGAACGGGCGGGACGGGGGTGCCGCTGGAACGGGCGGGATGAGGGCCCCGCTGGAACGAGCGGGATGAGAGCGCCGCTGGAACGGGCGGGACGGGGGCCCCGCTGGAACGGGCGGGATGAGAGCGCCGCGCGGGACGGGCGGGATGAGAGCCTCGCTGGAACGGGCGGGACGGGGGCGCCACGGGAACGGGCGGGATCAGGGCCCCCGCTGGAACGGGCGGGATGGGAGCCCCGCTGGAACGGGCGGGATGGGNGCCCCGCTGGAACGGGCGGGATGAGAGCGCCGCGCGGGACGGGCGGGATGAGAGCCTCGCTGGAACGGGCGGGACGGGGGCGCCACGGGAACGGGGCGGGATGAGGGCCCCGCTGGAACGGGCGGGACGAGGGTGCCGCCGGAACGGGCGGGACGAGGGCGCCGCTGGAACGGGCGGGACGAGGGCGCCGCTGGAACGGGCGGGACGAGGGCGCCGCTGGAACGGGCGGGATGAGGGCCCCGCTGGAACGGGCGGGCCGCGCGGCGGGGTGGGAGGGCCGGCTGTGGGCAGGAGCCTGCCCTAGGCAGACTCGAACCACCGCCAAGTTCAAAACCTGGAATTATCGCATGAATTAAGGAGTTTTAACCTCAAATTCGAGGAAAACACACAGAGGAACCAGTGGGCGCGTCTCAGGCTGAATCCCACGGCTAGCATGAGGAACTGCTGGCGGTCCCAGAGGACCGGGTGCCTCGCTTCCCTTTCAGGCAAATTTTGGAGAGGCGTGCATTTAAGGAGTAATTAAGATACAAAATCAGTATGTTAATGAATTCAGCCGTCATGATTAGTTAATACATTTGAACAGGTCTCATATAGCATAGCACAATGTTCTAAACGTGCCCCTTCTCAACATGGACCACAAAATACTTTAGCATCCTGCAGTTCGAAAAATGACATGCAATTTTATATCTGTTTCTGCTTGTGCAGTAAAGGCACAGTAGACTGATGGAAACTGGAATGAGTAGATGGTATACTCCGTACCAGCACAAGGATACTCTTGTGGAACTAGGTTGTTCTTTTGCATGTACTGTTTCTTCGCTCGGGCAGACTTCTCTGACACTGATTTAGCAATGCAAAGGCAAGTTGCTTGCTTTCAATTTCATTTATTCAAATGATTGTGCCAGGTTATTTTAAGTAGGGGCTTTTCCTCTTTGTTTCTTTCTAGTTACAGGGATCCAATGTACTGATTGGAATATGGGTAAGAATGCCCAATACCAGTTTGTACAATGTGCCTGTCATCAGGAAAATATTTCGTAGTTTCATTCCATTATCTGTTCTCTTTATGGTGTGACTTTAGACCTAACAGTGTCACACAAATTAAATTCTGAACAGATTCTAAGACAGATTATTACRTAAGAGACAGTTCAAAGAGTTTTTGGAAGCAGAATCTGCCTACGGTAGTTTGAACAGCTACACAAAACTTCAGAGTATCAGTGGCACCAGCCCTCAGTGCTATCCTCCTGTGCTGTTCATCTCAGAGTTTTGATTTACTACACACCACTGGATTTACTAACTCCCCCCTCTTCTTTTTTAATATCTACATGAAACATTACTGAAGGGTAGAAGAGCCATTATGTCTTGCATCTAAGTGACKGCCATGGTAAATCCAATATGAGTACTACATTCTTTGAAGACCAGTCTTTGCCCTCGTGTCTTAAATTTCTTTACTGAAACAGTAAGATCAGCTGTGCACTAGAAATTGTACTACCATGTGAAAGATTCCAAGTGTTCCCATCCCCTTCTCATTCTAACAGCTCAGACTCCCATGGCATGATAAAGCGGGCCAGCATTTCCCATCTCCCAAGAATGGGTGCTGGAGATTCCAATGGCATACAGCACCAGGTGGGCCAACAGTGATAAAATCCACCAATACTAGGGGTTTCTTGCCTGTAATGATTGACCCAGGCAGGCAGCATAGGCTATAAAGTATGAATTAAATTCAATTTATGAAATATGTAACRACTTTTCTATGCTAATTTTGTTGCACCAACCTCTGTTACAAGTCAGAAAAATTAGTTTCATGGGCTGTGTGTTAATTTCAAACACTAATTTTTATTGTGAAAGCTACTACTGTTAAACTACATACCTAAGTGGCTGCACAACCAGATACCACAATTTCAGCTTGTGAGAAATCAGGTAAGTAACCACCAGGCTACATCCAAAGGTGTCCCTTTAGCASTGAAGATGGCTTTGTCTCCAGACTGCCACCCTCATAGCCTGGACTGATGGTCAATGCTCCAGAATACAAACAAAGTAATTTGCCAGAGTGGCTGATCCAGGGATGGATTTTGTGGAATTTACATAATTCGAGAAAAGCAGGACTGATGCAGACACTTACCTGTACAGGTTTTCAACCCTCCCTTTCAATACTTTATCTAAGGCTACCYCTTCCATAGACAGCAGCCATATTCTTTGGAGAACTTTATTAAAATATATCCAAGAAGTAATCAAACATTTTCTAATGAGCCAGGAGAGAACTGAAGTGAGAAAAACATCTGTACAGAGGACAGTGCTGTAAGTTTTTGTTTACATGCTTTATTTCAATGTTTCACAGTTTAATCATTGTCTACAAAAATATATTTCTGAAACTCTGAGTCCTCTATAAAAAAAGCTGGTCAGCAGCAGTGACCCTGACAAACAGAATGTACCTTGGGATAGTGTGAGCACCTCCTGTAAGCAGATTAGTGCGGCTAGGGAACTCCTGCCTCACCCTGGGAGACTTCTGTTCTTTGGGATTAAAGCTCTGCACTAGTTCTGAAGGAAGGCATTAAAAAAAAAAAAAAAGTAATTCCACTTCTGTATACTGCACTAAGCTTGGAAGGGGGAGCTGCAAATTCAGTGTATCACACAGCAAAGAGTGCTAGCAAAGCACTTGGCACTCAGGGAAAGAAGACCTCAAGATGCTTTAGTACTGGTAAACTTTTTCTTTGAGCTATCCATTCAGAATAGCCTTTGGTGATAAMAGGTTCAAGCTGTCAGCAGAGGTACAAACAGCACACAAGCAGAGTATTCCTATAAATGCAAAGAGAGTCCTTCTTTGAGCACAAGATACGGTTTCTGTTCATTTTTACCTCAACATTTTCTTCTGTGGCTTTAATCAAGGGGAAAATTACTGTCACATAGAATAACAAGCCTACAACATGTTGGATAGAACAGAGCCACTATCAATGCTGTCAGCTTCAACTTCTTGGTACCCAGAACTGAAAACATGTCTTACAACATCAATTATTTAATTCCTATACTTACTAGTCACTAGTGCATCTAGCCACCAAAGAAAYAAACTGAGAAACTCAAGTTTCCCCAAATGAGATCTTTCCATTCTTCCTCTGCTCAGTAATTTGACTGCTCTATAGGGATACTTGTAGTTAAGAAGAAAAAAAAATAAATTGCCTCTTTTAAAAAAATAAATCTATCTTGCATTGTGCTCTAGAAAAGACAAGGTCAATGTATTCTGATCCTCAAAGCTTGTAAATAGAAGCCCCTTACCACAAAATAATCTCAGACCTGAACCCCTAAGCAGGGCAGGAATTTTCAGCAGCAAAAGAAGAGTAGTTATTGACAGACTGCTTTCCTAATGTGGTAAYAGACAGAAGATGAGCTCTCTGAAAACATTTTTACACCGGCCTGTCAGCAGAGCTTTCTGAACCAGCAGCTTGTGAAATCCAGATTTTCTAGAGRTTGGAGAATTCAGGAAAGTGCTGCTGGTTATTTTAGGTACATCTGCCATCAACGGGCTTCTGAGCTCCACGCTTTTGTACAGAAAAAGTTGTCCTGTAATAACTCATGCCTACCACCAGTCTCAGCCTGATCTGCTAAACCTGAGCAGCCAAGGAGGTATATGAATTTTAAGTAGAATCAGTATAATCCACAAAATCACAGAAGCCAAGAAACTTCACTGAGACAAATACCTTATCCAAAAAAGACACTCAGCACTAGAAAACTAGTATTAATCTCACTAATGCTAAACAGTTAAAGTGTAAAATCTGTAAGAAAACACCTGAAGTTTACTTCTTAACTAGTTTCCTTTCTGGAATTGCTGGGGSGACTGGCAAAGGGGAGGAGAAAGGAATGAATCATTGTATTAGTAGCAAGCCATTATGGAGAAGGCAGTTTTGGAGAAAAATTTAAAACCAGGAAAAAAAMCCCTGAAAACTTAAGTTATTCTGAAGCTTTCCTTACCTTCCCWAACAGGCCAAACAGAAGATTTTGTCCATGCTTTAAGTTGTTTTTCCAGTCTGTTCCCATCTGTGCAGCTTCCAGTCACAGACACGCAACAGAGGGAATAATCAAGGGYGGCAGAGAAACCCATGCATAGGGTATGCCTCCCATATAGCACCTACTTTAATATCAAAACATGAACAAATCAATCAGGTATTACTACACCTGCATGGAAAGGTTATAAAGAAGTGTAACGAGATGAAATAAAAGTAAGACTTGTTACTAAAGAAAAATCTTCTTCTGTGGAACCTCTTTTGCTGAAGACTCCACACCCCTCAAAAAAGCGATTCATATTTAATAATTTGTGAAATGGAAAAGACTTSCCAGCAACAATCCTGCCTTGGCTTCAGGTGAAAAACTGAGAGTTTTTGTTCTCCTTTAGYATCACAAAGCCTATTCATGTAGAACAAACTGCTGTCTTGCATTGTCCTACTGCTGTGCCMTGCCACAGAGATGCAGCATAATGATGAGTTGGAAGAGACCCATCAGGATCATCGAGTCCAACTCATGGCCTTGTGCAGGACACCCCAAGAATCCCACYGTGTGCCTGAAAGCATTGTCCAAACACTTGTTGAACTAAGACAGGCTTAGTGGTGTGACAACCTCCCTGGGGAGCCTGTTCCAGTGCTCAACCACCTTCTGGGTGAAAAATGTTTTCTTGACTGTTAAAAGCTGCCTTCTCCACCAGCACAGACAAGTGGGACATTACTTCTAGCTGATGCAATTATGCAAAAAGAAAAAAAATCTGTATCCTAAAGCTTAGAATTCCAACGTGATGGATCCCTTGTGGACAAACACTGCCATAGACTATGAGGTACTTGTGTGTGACAGGAACCAGCAACTGGAGCTGCACATTATTGCTACTTGYTGTCTCTCAGTGCAAGTTTTTTCCCATTTCTGCATTTTCTTACCTTCTCCAAGTTATAGACTCCAGAGTGAACTATTCTGAAGCCTCACAAACACGGTGGCCACCAAAATGCATTTGATGACATTTAAATCCCTTCCAAATTGTTTACAAGGCTGGCTTTGAGACTGTTAGCTTTTAACTTCAGGCCTAGAACTGCATAGAGGAAAYTTTGTATGGTCAAGAGCTAACAGTGCCTGCGCTGTGCCTGTTCTCACAGGAAATGTTATTTRAAACAATCAAAGTAACACACAGAGCTTAGTCTAGGCTGCATTCTATCAAGAGCATAATGAAGACAATAGTCACAACTTCTCCAATTCACCAATATTTTTTCTAATATTCCCCAAGGCTACACTTAAAAGAGGTCCAGCCAAATTAAATTTAAGCTACAAGTCACAAYTGAAAAGTGTGCACTTTAGTCTGGTGTTCAGAACACTGAGGACCATCCCTGATCAGGTGGCTTCACTTCTRTTTTCATGTGCACAAAGACAGTTCCCTGTCACACACAACTGAAGCAGATACATGGGAAAACTGATTCATTAAGCCTAGGGGAGGCAAAGTCACTGCTGCCATGCCCCAGAGAAGGAGAAAGATTCATTGAGAAATTATGACTAAAGGGTTACAAAATAAAGGCAAGAGCTAAAGTTTGTCGGCAATGAAATGCATTCTGCTGTCCCATGTGAACAGGAAACAGTTTCTGTAGGGTGTTAAAGAAAGTCCTAGGAGTAGATGCCCTCCTACTTTTTTCTACTGCCAAARGAGAGGAGAGAAACACACTGCTATTGATCAGCAGGAATCTCTCTGTCTGCATCCAGTTTGCTCGTCTCTCCTGGGGAAGGGGTACGTGGTGCAGAGTGAGAAACAGGAGGGATGCCATGAGCTACAATCCCTTCCACTACTGGTGGTTCAGGTAGCCCAGGGTTGGCTACTCCCACTACTCCTGGAGGAAACCTAAAACCAACAAAAACATAGAAATTATTCRCTTGTCCAACAGAGTTATTCAAAGGAAAAGGAGCCATGCCCTCAGACACGTGATGGAAATAAATCTGTCTTTCTAACAGAAATGCTCTGGGATAAAAMACAGGAAAAGTCTTCAGAGATGAAAAACAGCAGTGATATCCCAATGCCAAATGACACTTATTTGCAGACAGACCCAGATAGTCTGAGGTCACATACTAAGCATTTGAAAACAGATACAAAATTTATCTCCAGTGGAAAACAYTATGAATCACTCTATGAAGGCACCTGGATGGCTAGGAATTCCCTCCCCAGGAGCAGAAAGAGTGTAAACTGCATTATCCTTCACTGGGCTCCAAGACGGAGAAAGTAAGAAGCTGAACTAMTAAAACAGCTAGATGCAACATGAAAAAGAGTACAGTGACAGTCATGAATTGCTAATAAACTAATCTTCCATTACTYCCATTCTGCTACCCTATGCACTCTCCATAAATACATCCAAACCTCCATAGATCTCTCATAGAAGGAAAAATATATTTTCTACTTTGCAGATGGGAGACAAACAGAAGGGAAGCAACCTGCCCACAAWCACTTAGCAGATCTGTAACAGAGAAATAAACTCAAATAGACTCTATTTAGACTACTGAATAAATCCACTAGAGGCTGTCTCAGTAATAGTCCATATCTGGGCTATAGGTAAGAACTGTGCTTTGTTTATAGAGCCCTAATGGTATACAAAACTTCTAATATAAAGTTCCCGTCCTTGGGCAGGGCTTTGAAGGATTTGGAAATACTGACCAGTATTCAACTGGAACGAAAGATGACCAAGTACATGTTAAATCCTAGTACAGCTTTAGAAGTGCTGCTGTTAAGTTTTGGGAAAGAGCTCATATACAAGAGTACACAGGAACAGAGATATAGCTRTTTGCAGGTAAAAGCAGTTCTCAAACCCCTGGCTTACTTCAGCTGGAAGCTATGTTTGGATAACCTGCATATCTCACCTGTAGGCTGTGGCTCCATTGAGTTCTGGGTGGACTGTTGCAGGATCAATACTGGACCACTGAGCTGCTAACACCAAGTACTCCTTATTAACACAGTTTCTCAAAGCATCAGGTATGTGACCTGCAAGGGCACCAAGAATGACAAAAAAACCCAGGAAACAGGCAGGAGAGACTTGTTCCCTGCAGGATTTACAAAACAATATAGAAAGGAAAAGCGCAACATGTTTTCATCCACCTCCACAGGGTAACACTGGGCACAGGAGATTCTCCTCTGAGCATCTGGTGTCTGGGGACAGCAGGAAACTGATCTTTCCTTCCCAATTTTGTGAAAATTATTGCCACAAACTGCTTGCAACTGCCAAGCCTCACTTTTTTTTAAGAGACAATATGTACTACTTACGGAAAAAAAACATACAGTAAAACTGTCAGAGGAATTATTGCAAAGGATTTGGAAGATGTAGGTAAAAAGGCTTTCCCAGGAAAAGAGCCACTCCAGCATTAGGTACAAGAATTCTCAGAAGACAAACATACAATTATCAWCTTACACTCCAGTTCCAGAAACCAGTTAGTGAGCCTAAGTGTTCCAAACAGTCAGCATAATCGTTGMAGTGAACTAACAAAAAACCCACTAATTCAGCAGCAACTACAAATCTTCTTCATTACCTGTAATAGCTCTGCGGATCTCTTTAGCTGCGTCTTCTCTGGATTCAATGGAAGCCTGTTCACTGTACCAGGCAGTGTGAGGGGTGCAGATAACATTGGGTGCATCTTTTAAGGGTCCCTGAGCGAAACTGTGGAGAAGAAAAAGGTTTTTTCCAGAAGCGATAACCCCATCTGTCCTCTTGGGCATCACTGTAACCAGAACAACAAACCCCCCACCCCCCCCCCCCCCAAAAAAAAAACCCCACCCCAAAACCAAAAAAAAAAAACCACCCCACCCCAAACCACCAAAAGAATCATCCAGCTTAGGTAAGCCACCAAATAACAGCAGGCCTGCAGGTACAACATTACCTGAAAGGCTCAGACTCATGCACATCCAATGCTGTTCCTCTGATTCTCCCCTCTTTCAAGGCTTGTGCTAAGGCTTTCTCATCTACCAGCCCTCCCCGGGCTGTGTTCACTAAAAAGCAGCCCTGACGCATCTGGAAGAAGAAAAATWTTAAGTACATTGAGAATGAGACTTTTCATGGAAGCTAAATGAATCTTGGGAAGTCTACTGGAAATGATCAGGAGTCTGCAGTGATTAGATGGAGGCCTGGAGGAACTACGAGTGCTTTCACTGCAAAGCTTACCACAGGGAAAATGCCTGCACRCAATGCTTGAGAAATTTGCTTTAAAAATCAACAAACAAAACCACAAGACAACAAGGGCAGAAGTGGAACTCTCAAGTTCTGCACTCCATATTCATCCTACTACATTAAAAAAGAAAGAGGACATGAATCATGAATCAAGTATCCAGCTAYACAAAACTGGACTACAATGTCCAAATGCCTCTCATAAAAACACTGGAAAGCATTCATAGACTAGTGGAGTTCAGCCCGAGACTGACTTTGCAGTGGGCTTGGGCAGWGAGGCTTTTGCAGTGCAGTGTAAAACATACACAGTCCCAGCCACACCACAAGCAGTGCAGTAAATTATGTACTTTAGAGATAATTTGAAATTATTGAAGCACCTAAAATATTTCTTATAAATGAAACTATTTTGCAAGAAAAGGCAATCCTATTCCCCTCTTAACATGAAATTCTGTATAGCACRAAGCACAGGCACCCGGATCCACACGCTCCCAGCCTCCAAAGGCAGCAGGTGGCACACAACAGAGGCAGCAGGATTCACACGCTCTCAGCCTCTGTGAAAGCAGCAGTTTCTGTTTGCATTCATTTCCACAGTGCTCTGTGGGGGAAATCAAGCTCCTGCTGCACCTGTTTAATAGTGAAGTCATTGATGAGGTGATGGTTATGTTCATTCAGGCTGCAGTGCAATGTGATGCAATCGCTGTGCATTAGTAGATCCTGCAGGGTTCCTACTCGTTGTAAACCCAAGGATCGCTCCACTCCATCCGGCAGATAGGGATCATAGAAAATCACGTTGAAGCCAAAGGACTTGGCTCGCAGAGCCACTGCCTGTCCAACTCGGCCTTCACAAAAGAAAACCCACAATCATCAAGGAAAGGTAAAACAAAACTTTAAAGACAAGATACTGGGGTAGACTGGGAGCCTACACTGAAGTTTACTACTGCCAGGGCCCAAAGTACTGCAGCCCTGGAAACCCCTAGGATTGCCACAGGTATCCAGAGAAGGCTATTCAGTGCTGATCCTATGTGGCTAATTCTAGCTCTTCCCCATGCAATAGCCAGAGCTTAGTCAAGATGCAGCTCTATTTTCAAACCAAATCTGGACCCWGAGTCAGAGGTAATAATCTGACTACAAGAACTTGGAGAAGCAATTGATAGCTACCTTTCAGGCAGCTTCATTACTGACACAGAGCCTAACACACAGGGAAACAGWCACCGAGAAGAGCTGTATGAATGTTCCAATTCTTCTAACCATTTGAAATTGAAAAAAAGAATACCCAATCCCCTGACACAMACCCAATTCTTGAAGATATCCAGAATGACACAATAGGGCATTGGCATTCCTTAGGAGCCAGTGTGTTTCACAGAGAAACACAGCACACAAAGAACAGCTGTACAAGTATCACTTTTCTCAGTATGTGAYTCTCAGCTTCCCAAAAATGTTCACAGTGCTCTTTTCAGTCTAACAATTCCCRTCACTTACCTAGTCCAATGATGCCCAAAGTCTCCCCACGGATACGCACAGCGCCTCCAGCCACCTCTCGAATCTGTTCTACACTTGAGGCTCGATTCCCTTCCCGCAGAGCCTGATGAAGCCAAGTAACACGGCGATAGAGGTTCAAGATGTGGCAGAGGGTAGAGTCAGCAGTCTCCTCTACTGAAGAGGAAGGGATGTTGCAAACCGCAATGCCTACCAAGCCATAGAATATGAGATTTTTTAGCAACACAATTCTAAACCAACATAAAGCCTTTAGAGGCACAAATGCTGAAAGGTATTTCAGTACTGCAGAGCTTCAGAAACACAGGATTCATTTCAAAACCTCATTCTACAACACAGATGCAACCAGTCATTTTTTCAATCCCTCAGGAGCTACCACTACTTCCTTATAAATATCCAGTCGATCGACACATGCACCAGAAAAACAAACAAACCGGCTAAAATGAGAAAACTGGGCCATACAAGTGATACAAGCAACTGACTCTTKTAAGAGATCTGCATTCAAAAAGATGCACTCCTTCCACAGATACTCCTGACAGATTAACTGGCAGACTGTAGAAGAATTGGGACAGATGGCTGAGCTCTTCATGCCTCACAGTCCAGATGCTCATCAGCCTCCCCAGGAACAACAGTAAGTAACTAACTCATTAAATGCAGACARAAGCCCCAGGAGCTTCTCTAAATCCATTTGAAGTTACACTTAAAAAAAAACACGTAACACTCCCACTCAGGAATAACATATAACCACAAGGACCATAAAATCCATGGCTACAACTATCAGGTAAATTACTAACGCAAATAGAGTTTAAGTCCTAGATGTATAAATTATGGTCACAAAAGAGAGAGATGGAACAGTGCAACAWATCTGGTAATTCCTGAGCACTTTATTAAAAAAAATAGGAGGGAGTAGGCTGGCAACAAATCATTTCACTCCAGCTATCCTTCATTCGACAAACCAGCTAAGACGTAAAAATAATTAGATGAAAAAATGGTCTCTTCCCAAACATAACCCTAGCCACTTGCCAAACCAAGGCAACCCTCCTGCCTCAAAAATCCACCACCTAACTAAAAACTGGAAATAGAATCTAAACAATGGTTGAAGACATCATTGTTTCATAGGCCTATTCAGAGACACTGACTAAATTCAAGACCATGCTTTCCCATGAAAATTAGGAGAGTAATGGCCACAGACAATCCCAGGTATCTGCTTATCTCTATCAAATTATTTTCAATTGTGTCATAAGGCCACACAGACAACKTGGAGGGCATAAGTAAGGGTGATAGAAAAACCCAATGTCTCTYAATCTCACTGGTTACCATTTCATTCAACTCTAGACAAGCCCCAYGCATGCATTACACAGTCAGACACACACTGTGTTAACATGCAGTATTATGCCTAAATGTAAGAAAACTCAAATATAGACAACCGCCCTCTCTGCTCTGAAGACTGAGAATACAAGGRACAGTAGCTTACCTCAGAATGAATTAAAAGGCCTGGCTAAGCATGAAAATAACCATTAATTGTCCATGAAATAGCAAATTTGGCCATGCATAAGGGCCATCATATTAACGCTCCAAAGCAAAAATCACAAGCAACAGCCTGATGGTGAAAGAACTTTGACTGATTTTACCTTGGATTAATGAGTGTGCAGTGGGGGAAAAGTGGAATCTTTGAATCTGAGTGAATCAAAGACATGGATGGCGACTTTAGGTAGAGAAATGCTAGGCTACGTTAGGTTTCAAACTCAGCATAAATATGTAAAGGCTGGATGAAAGCCACGGACCTTGACAGGAACTCATGAGACTATTCCTTCGAATCATCCTGACGAAAAAGCTCTTTTGACTTAATTCAAGCACTAGCCAAATACACACTCTGCATTTGTTAGCAATTCATCTGTTCTTACGGATCTGAAAATTGCAATGCCTACCTATTTCAATTTTATATACAAATACRTGTATTTGATTTAAGCTTAACAGGRCCTGCATTACATTAAGGAAGATTTCAAATCCCTTACACTTGTAAAACTTAAAAAAGAAGGGGCAGGGTACTTAAGTGATCCATCCCACCTAAGAGACTACAAGGTCCAGAAGTCTCACTCCCATCTGTTTAATAAATAGCAGCTTTTTGTCACTTGATCCAGAGGCTTTTCACATGCCTAGGGCTCTAAAGGGAAAACTAATAAAGGCTTGAACCGGAACCAACTTGCGTATACAAAATTAAGTGGAAAACTCATGAAGCATTTACAACAAGTTTATCTTGAATTAGCATTTGCAGGTGGCTTTCAGACATAATTTTGCTCAGTGCTCACAAAAAAACCAAAGTTGTCTCACCAAAAGTTACCTAGACACCACATTCAGGTTCCTGAATACCAAACAGCAAGGACACCAACATCTGTAACTGAGAATCTTTCTTTTAAGCCATCTACCAGCCCCTATATTAGTCAGCTTCCTAAAGACACCTGATATTGAGCAGCTCCAAATCTTTGTACATCGAAGTTTTTAAATGCACTCAGCTATAAAGCACAAAAACACAAGCAGCGTTCCATTTCACATTCAGTTCTGATCRTAACAGACACCTAATAGTGCCATCGTACCTAATTCTGCAGCGGATTTGATGTCAACGTTGTCATAGCCACTGCCAATACGCACAATGACCCTGAGGGCTTTGAATTTCTCCAGATCCTGACGAGAAAGGGTAATGGTGTGATACATCAGAGCTCCTACTGCCTCATTCAGCACCTATAACAAAAACCAGTCCAAATCAATATCTGGTTTGGTAACCTAAGAAGTAGAGCTCTACATCTGAATGATTGCACATTTTCTTGCCCACCTTTTCRTGAATTTCCTGAGTTGACTGAGCATCACAAAATGCCACCGTAGCAACATCCTTCAAGATGGGCATCTCCACAGTGCAATCTCGTCCATCCAGGAGGGCAACCAGTGGCCGTGCTGGCATTGGGCCATTCACAATAGGAGGCCGTATGCCTATTAAGGAAGTCAGCAGGAGTGATTACATGAAAGACACGAATTCTGAACTCCCATGTGCTAGTCCAATAAGTTACTAATGGTATTTAAAAACAGATTAAGCAAAGCAAAAGACATTAATAGAAAACAAACACATAGAAAAGAGGCTAGGAAAAAAACACAACCACCTCTGTCACCCCTTAATAAAGGAAAATAAAGCATGTTTTATCAATAATGAGATCATAGAGGTGATCTACTCAACAGCACGCCATCTTACTCCAGGCTCCYGAAACGAGTGACAAAGTCGCTTCAGACCTCCTCCCTAGTAACCTCCCCCGCTCCATCCCAGCATGCCCAGATACAATTTCCCCCTTAAGCGATCAGAACTTGTACGTTCACAGGCCTCCGACAGTCACTAGCATCCGCCCCTTCCCAGAAGGCGCTACACTGCGCTCCGTGGGCGGCCGGGCCCTGCTCGCCGCCGGCCAGCCGGACCTGAGCCCCACAGGGGTGCAGCGGCTGCCTCGGCTCCCCGTGCCCAGGGCAGGTGCCGCTCCCCGCTCCCCGCTCCCCGCTCCCCGCCGCTGCCGAGGGGCGCCCGCCCCGCCTCACCTTCGCAGATCCGGTCCAGACGCTGCCGTTTCACTTTGTGCCGGTCCATGAGCCGGGCGGGGCCGCGCCGCCCTCGGCGCCGCACAAGGACCGGGAGCCGTCACCCCCCGCCCGCGCCGCTGCGGCGGAACCGGAACCGGAACCGGAACCGGAACGGGAACGGGAGCGGCGGCCCCGCCAGCGGCCCCGGAGCGCCCGCGCTTCCGCTTCCGGAGCGCGGAACATGGCGGCGCGGAGCGGCACCGGCACCGGGAGCGGGAGCGGGAGCGAGCCCGACCCCAGCGGGGCACCTGGCATTCCATAATCCCGGCTCACAGCCGGCTCCGGGCAGCATGCGGCTGTTCACAGAAACCTGGGAGGTGCATCTTGAGATGGAGCTTCAGATCTTCCTAGGAAGCTTTCTGCGTGCGACAAAACAGGGAGGCGTTCCAAGCGGTTCTGCTTCTTCTTGCCACCTTTGCAGGCGTGTCGTCCACACCTGCTCCCGGGAGTGCATCAACCTTGCAATACCCTAACTCAATACTCGCTCGTCGTGAGAATTCACTGCATAAATCATGACAAGGACATCACTAAGCAAGCTGTACAGTTTATTGAAGAACAAATTCAAGCTATTTTATTAAATAAACATTCATGGTACCTGATCGGAAGTCCGTACAGTTGATCTACTTTCATATGGCCCTTTTCTKCTATACTTTCCACGTTCCATTTAGATATGCCAAGATATGTTTTAGCAGATCTGTGTGCGTTCTTCCTGCTCTGTGCTGGAGTTTAGTGGGCAAAAGGCAACGTGACAATTGGAACTGCCAGCTGGTGACTAGGTGTTGGGAGGAATGGGTTAAAAGTACATGACTGCCTAGTGAGGATTGTAAACACGCAGCTGGGAATAACCCTTGCTGAGCCGGTGTGAACAYTGCGGCGATGCCCGGCACGAACCCACTTCAGTGGTGCGTAGGTCTCCCCTTGTGCCCTTGTGTGCCTGTGCCCAGGGCTTGCTTCAGGGATCCCCAGTTAGCAAGGACGGGGAAATAAATTACTCTGAGGTTTAGCCGTGGCTTTGTGGCTGTCCTTGCTGCTGCCTGCCTGTGCTGACGCACACTCGGGCAGTTAAACAATAGCAAGGTAAGAATGTTTGRCAAAGATAGAGTACTTAGAAAAATGTGTTTTCAGGCCCTGTGAGTTTGATGACCCTTTAATATCTCAGATTGTTTCATGAACTGGTTGAAATAGTGACAGAAGTGTCACCAAAACTGCGGGAGAAACAAAAACCTTCCAGAAAAAATATAGTGTGAGAGAGTCAAAGCACTACTTTATTTCTGGCCAGGATGTGCCACAGAAATAATTTCATCCACACATAAACCGGGTGTGCAGAGAAAATGATTTTATGACACATGAATTTTACAACATTTCCCCCAAACTTTATACAGTCAAAACTCATAGAACTTTATTGGTTAATGTTCATTGGTCCAAAGTTGCATAGTTCTTAGTATTTGGTTTCCTATTGGATTTGGATTTCTTTGCCTCCAATGSTAATTAGGTCTTCCTTCTTATCTCCTTTTTCCCAGACCTGGTGTCCCTGACCATGCCATGGGGGAGGTTTGGACTTGGTGTTCCATTAATGGCTGCTGATGGCTGTTGATGTTCTTTATCTTTTGTGCTACTCCCAGTGTCTTGGGATGTTAAGTTCATCAGACCTCACCTGGTGGAACAATGCCTTGGAAAGAAATTTAGAATTCCTTTTCCTGGGGCAAAGATGAACAAAACTCTTGACTAAAGTTATATTAAAAAAAAAATTAACTGGTATATTTTTCAACAGAAGCATGAAGAGTGACTCTGATAGCAGGAACATTGAAGAGGCCAAAACCCACCTGTGTGGAAAGATACAGGAGGATAGGCTAAGGAATATGAATAAATTAATTTGCCTGTAATTAAAAAAAAAACAAAACAAAAAGCCTTGATGCATGTAGATTGTTTGTGGGTATCAGTGAGACTACTACTCATTTCCAACACTGTTTGTCAAGAATTAATCCAGTGTCTATACTATATGTTGCTACTTTAAAAAAATGGGGTAGTTTCACCCATTCGGTTTGCATGCCAAACCTCAGAGGCAAGCCTTCTAGCACATTACCCCAATAGCTTTAGTCTTCTGGAGCACAATTGCCTGTGGCCGATGGAGTGTGCCGTTACATTTAGGCTGGCTGTATAATAACCTCCCCTTACATTCAAGCTGGTTTTACATGGCTTCATGTCTCTATAAAAACCTCTGTTACAATCTCTGTGAGTGCATTCAGGTATTCTTCTCACCTGTCAACACTCTTGCTGATAGCTCTTTGTTGGATGCTTGAAAAAAACAGGAGGATTTGGAGGCAAGAGTGGATTTTTCTGAGGACAAACAAACAAATTCGAAATCTTAAAAACCTGTTGCYAGAGAAAATTAGTAAAGAAAGCCTCATTTATCTGGATACAGCAGGTCTGCGTTGTGGTCCAAAGTCCTGCCCTGTATCATAGAATCCTAGAATAATAGCATATGCTGAGTTGGAAGAGACCCATCACAATCATCGAGTCTGACTCCTGGCCCTGCACAGGACATCCCAAGAATCCCATGATGTGCCTGATAGCCTGGTCCAAACACTTGTTGAACTTAGCCACTTGGTGCTGTGACCACTGCCCTGGGGAGCCTGCTCCAGAGCTCAACCACTCTTTGGGTGAAAAACCTGTCTCTGATATCCAGCCTAAAGCTCCTGACTCAGCTCCATGCCTTTTCCTCGAGTCCTGTCACTGGTCATGCGAGTGAAAACATCAGTACCCGCCCCTCTGCTTTCCCTCCTGAGGATGTTGAAGACTGCAATGAGTTCTCTCCTCAGTCCCTCCTTTCGCAGGCTGAACAAACCAAGTGACCTGAACTACTTCTCACAGGCTTCCCCTCCATACCCTTCTCCATCCTCATGGCCTCCTTTGGATGGTCTCTAGCAGCTGAATGTCTTTTTAATACTGTACTGCCCAAGACTGTACATATTACTCAAGGTGAAGCTGCATCAGTGCAGAGTAAAGCAGRACAATCACCTCCCTTGACTGGCTGGCAATTCTTTGCTTGATGTTCCCCAGGATATGGTTGGCCCTCCTGGCTGCCAGGGCATACTGTTGACTCAGTAGGAGTGGCTTGTACCTCAGTCGTTCCCGGTAGTGTCTAAAGCRCCTAATGCTGCTGATAAGATGTAAAGTAAACAGCCCTTGTGCTGCTGCCTGCCATGTGCCCATCTCTTTTACAATGTAAAAGAGGAGAAAATGTACAGGAGTGATTAAAATAAGAACCTMCTGGCTCCGGTTCTGTGTTTCACAGCACTGAAAGGTAGTGAAGATGGCAGCAGAGTGGGACCACTGATCTTTGTGGCCTAATGGGGCTCTGAGTCTTCTGTCCCATGGCTTGAATGAAGTCCAGGCCATTTCACTGTGAAAAGCAGCTGTAGGGCTGCTGCTGAATCAAGGCGAAATAATCTAACCCATGTTATTTAACTTSATTGCTTTCATACCTGTTTAAGTATCTTGCTAGCCTACAGGAACGTAAAGCTTCAGTTTGGTTCCTGTCCTGGTTTTAGCACAGATCAGTTGGAGGGGGCATAGCCAATATAATATTCTTTTATACCACCTTGTATCATTGCCAGGGGCAGAGAAAGGGACTCCCTTGCTTCTGAGGAGAARGGGTTCCTTCTGGTGGGGGAAAGTGTAGTTGGGAAGAGCCAGTCAGTATTGTGGACTTTCCGTGCAAGTAATTTCTTTGTCTTGTACCTTTTGCTATTTATACTGTTGCTGCTACTGTTCCTTTTCTTATCTCATTGCTGTTCCCCGTAAATKGTTCTTACTTCAACCYGTGATCTTTGCCATTTGTTCTTCCAATTGAMGGAAGGTGGGGAGCAAGCAGTGTAGTTATAGTGGGAACACTGAATTAGGAAATATKGACTACATTGAACAGCTACAACCCCTGAGGTCTGTGTCTGTCTTGCCACTGCCAGATCCACTGTCCTGCAAGCTAATTCAGCTTCACTTGAGACAAGGAGAGACAATATACATCATGGAAATACCTGGATCAGAACAATGGGCTCATAGTGCGTCACTTAAATGTCTTTGAAACAAAATATAGTGTAATGCATTATTAAAACTACTTACCTTGTCCATGTTCTTGCCTCTGAAAAWATTTAGACTTAAGGTAGTCAACCAGCGTTGTTCTAAGATACTCCCCCTTTCTTCTCTTGAAAAAGTATTCTTGCTTTCCTTTTACAAATCATTTTTCTTCTGAGCTGCTCATGCCTTAAATTGCTTCTGTCATCCAAGCATGTACACACCAACTACTGCCTTAACTAGTTGGTGGAAAGGGACTTAATGAGCCTCTAGTCCAACATCTCTKTGCTAGCCAGTAGTAACACCAACAAAAAGCAAGTCAGCTTTAGCTTCTTCTATAAGTTTGCATACAGACTCTGATATGACTGACTCTGACTCCAGATAACCTGTTCTAGCACTGTACCAGCTTCTTAGTGAAAAAGTTTYTCAAAGCATCCAGCCTGAACAACACAACATGGAATTTGTGGCCATCATCGCGTCTTATATCACCTGCCATTTGGGTTTATCAACTTTGCAGCTCATCTTCAAGTACCTGTAGGGTGATAGCAGATCATCTGTGAAATTCTCCTTTGCCAAGTTCACAAAGCCAGCTCTGATAATCAATTTGTAAGTCATGTGCTACTGTCTTGGTAGCTCTCCACTGGACTCMCTGTAGTTCCTCCACATCCCGCTTGAACTTCAGGGGCAGGAAGCTGCACACAGCGGTCCAAGTGTGGCCACACCACTGCTAAGCAGACATGAATAATTTCTTTCAGTCTCTGGCCATGTTCTTCCTAATGCAGTGTGGTGTGGGGATTGTCTCATTCACGATCACTTCTTACTGGTATCCATGGCAACTTCCAGGTTCTTCTAGCAGGGCTGCTCCTCGTCCACTCAGTCCTCAGCCAGCAAAGATGCATGGGGTCACTCTGCCCTGTTACAGAACTCAAGTCTCCTTCCTAAATGTCATAGGACACCCACTGACCCAGTTCTTTCATTTCTCAAAGTCCCTCTGGATTGAAGCTATGTTGTTCAGCATGTCCATTACTCACCCTGAATTTTTGTGATCA